GATGATGATGATGATGATGATGATGATGATGATGATGATGATGATGAGCCCTTGGAATAATCATCAGTAATATACCTCCATTGATACAAACTATGACCCCAGCTTGCCTTTGCAAAACTGAAGAAAGAAAAAGCCTGCACATGAACTGAAGAAGCAGGCATGTTCAGGACACCAAGAATTCACAGGTCTAGAAACTAATGCTCCCTTATTCAAGCAGAACTTCAGAATAGAATTGTCATTTCTGATACCATTATAAATATTAATCAGTAAAGTGCCAGCTCTCTCAAGGATTTCGAACAGACAGAAGACGATCCCTGAATACTTTACACATACCTGAAACAACTGGAATCAAACTGATTAATATTCATAACACCGAAGTCTTCTGTCTTTAAACGATTTCTTAAAAAATCTTTTTAAAATCCCTCGTGCAGATGAGTACCATTTATGTTCACAAAATGCTACACTCAATGTTTGACAGGGAAGTGATGCTTCTGAAATTCCCCAGCAGACCTGTCACTTCTAAGCATGGATAAGCTTCTTACAGTAGGAGCAACAGCAGCAAAGAATACAGCCTGGGATTGGGAGATGAGAATCATTCTGGGTGAAATTAGACCACCTGGCTTGTTTTGTGTTCCAGGCAGCAGGTTAAATAATTCAATAAGGAGCCTTGGTCAGCACTTGCTTTATGGTTGTATGATTGGTGGCTCATCTGCTGCTGGCAGGCAGAACATGAAGAGTTGAACCAATGGCTGAACAATAGAAAATAGTAAGAGGAGCAAAGGAATCACAAACACCGTAGAGGTATTGCTAATAGAAGACTTGTGCCATCTGCCAAAATGTCTGGAAGGTGAAGCGCTCTCAAAAAAAATGCAACTTTGCCTTTGAGACAGGAAGGGCAAAACAGAGGAAGCCACATCCAGTGTTTTTGCATGAGTTGTTTTGTAGCTGTGCAATAATTCTTCAACATGGCTGATTTTAAAAAGAAATGCATTCCAGTTTTGTAAATAAGAAAAAAATCATCTGATAGGCATCTGATAGGAAGAAATCTATATTTTCTCACTCTTCATTTCCATCTCCTCAGAAATGGAGGGGCGTGGGAGTCACACTGGGGACGTTGCCCAGTGGTTTCATAGCTAGACTCTTCTATTAGAAATACTGAACCACACCAAAATGCAGTAGCTTTGCTTTGAGTTTTAGAAGCAGAAGTTCTCCTTCCATAAAGCAACTTCAAAGGAGTTTTTCATCTAAAGTCCTGACAAAACCCACTATCTTTTTCCCTTTTTGTACAGCCCTATAACTATGTACTTTGTGGCTTTTGTTAGGTTTCCATAGTTTGCTTTAAACATGCAAATTTGAGATTCTGCATCTTGGAAGAAACAGAGATTGACAGGAATCAAAGAGTGTAGATATTTTATAAATCTGAAAACTTCATTTTGTGTTACATTAGGGAAAGTGTTTTGTTGTAATTCCTGAAGATAAATTATAAATTGATATGAAAAATGTATATTTGAGTTTGTCAAACAGAATCAAGAAGATTTAATTTAAGACATGTTATGATATGTACAGAATAACTCTTGAGTAACAAGGATATGCACCTGGAAAGGTTTATGAAAGTAGTTATGAATAATTATTCAGCCACACACAGCTACACTGAATTGAGTTAAAGTTTACTTTAAGAAATAGCACAGTCCAATAAACGGTCCAGGTCATAAACATTTAATAGTCCAAAAAATATCCAATTACAAAAATCTTCTCACCGGTTGCCTTTGTTATTTACAGTAAACAAAGATATCAAAGTATAAACACAGCAACAGAAACCTTAGATAGCAACAGAATGTCAGAGAGACAGCATGTCAGAGAGAGCAAGCCATGATCTCTAGCTCCCTCTTATGGCAATCTGCAATACAATCAACTAATTGGAACACAGTACAAATTAGTACAGTGATTTTGTCTTAAAGCTACAAAACATACATTGTTGGTTTATATATTTATTTTGATTTGTCAATTGCTTACAAGATAATAGGTATAAGTATATACATAGTTATGAATACATGAAATGGGTACATATACGAAAAATAAAAGAAACAATAGGGCAGGGACGGTAGGCACGTTGGTGCGCTTATGCACATCCCCTACAGACCTCTTAGGAAAGGGGTGAGGTCAATAGTAGACAGTCTAAGGTTAAAGTTTTTGGGGTTTGGGGAAGAAACCACAGAGTCAGGTAGAGTATTCCAGACATTGACCACTCTGTTGCTGAAGTCGTATTTCCTACAAGTTTGGTGCGGTTAACCTTGAGTTTGTATCTATTGTGTTCTCTTGTGTTGTTATGGTTGAAGCTGAAGTATTTATTGACAGGCAGGACATTGCAATGTATGATTTTATATACCATACTTAGATCAGACCGAAGACGGTGTAATTCAAGGTTTTCTAGGTCTAGAATTTCAAGTCTGGTGGCATCAGGTATTCTACAACGAGTAGAGGAGTGGAAAACTCTTCTTGTGAAATATTTCTGGACTTTCTCAACTGTGCTAACATCAGATACGTAATGTGGGTTCCAGACTGATGAGCTGTATTCGAGTATTGGTCTAGCAAATGTTTTGTATGCTCTAGTTAGTAGTGTGATATTACCAGAGAAAAAGCTACATAGGATTAGGTTAACAACTCTTAATGCCTTTTTGGCTATGTAGTTACAGTGGGCTCTAGCACTTAGATCATTAGAGATGAGTATTCCAAGGTCCTTTACAGAGCTTGGATCATCAACAAGATCTTGACTATTCAGCTTGTATTTTATTTTCTGATTTTTTTTTGCCAATATGTAAGACAGAGCATTTATTTGTTGAGATTTGAAGTTGCCATTTGTTTGACCATTCTGACACATAGTCAAGATCTTTTTGAAGGGTAGCAGTATTGTCTGTGGTATTGAACAGCTTTACATCATCAGCGAAAAGAACGCAGTTGCTCTTAATATGATCACAGAGGTCATTTATGTAGAGTATGAAGAGAGTTGGTCCTAGAACACTGCCTTGGGGGACACCACTATTGACAGGTACAGAATTTGATAGGACACTCCCAATTTTGACCATTTGTTGTCTGTTTGACAGGAATGCTTCTATCCAGTTATGAAGGTGTCCAGAGATACCATAAGATTTTAGTTTTAGGAGTAGTTTGTCGTGTACCACTGAATCAAAGGCTTTACAGAAGTCTATGTAGATTGCGTCTATTGCTTTGCCCTGATTGAGTTGTGTAGTCCATATGTTTTTGCAGTGTAAGAGTTGCAGATTACAGGATAGTTTTTTCCTGAAACCAAATTGTTTATTGGAGAGTAGGTTGTTTGTCTCTAAGTGGAGGATAATGGATTGGTTAATAATTGATTCCATGACTTTACAGGTGACGCAGCATAAGGAGATTGGTCTGTAATTTTCAACTAGGCTTGGGTCTCCCTTTTTGAAGATGGGGATGACCGTGGCTTGTGGCCATAAGTTAGGCAAGGAGCTGGTCCTGAAAGATTTTTCAAAGATTATGCTTAAAGGTTCAGCTATGGCAGTGGATAGCTTTTTTAAGAAGTAGGCACATATTCCCTCCGGTCCAATAGATAGAGATGGTTTTAGATTACGTAGTGCTTTTGCAACATTGTCTTCTGTAAAATCGATATGTATTAGATCATTGTAGTTGTCTGTGGTTCGGCTAGGAAATACTGGGCATGATCCATTGCTGTTTACAAATACTGAGCCGAAGAATGTGTTAAAGATGTTGGCTTCAATGGTGTCATCGTTGCAGTCTTTACCATTAGGTCCTATCAGGGGTGGGATGGACCTTGAGTCTTTTAGTTTGTTGTTTACAAAATTGTAAAAAGCGCAGGTGGAATTGGTGCGTAGAAGGTTTTCCTCTTGTTTAATGTGATAATTGGTGCATTCAGTCTTTATCTGGTGGCATAAATTTTTGTATCGGATTTTGAAATTGGCAACGTGACCAGATTTGTTTTTCCTCCAGAGTGATCTCTTTTTGGATTGAAGTTTCCTTATTGTTATGGGTAATCTGTGGTTTTTTTTTTGTTTGTTTTTTTTTTGTTTTGGGAGTTGTTGTTGGTACATATAGTTTGATGACTCTTTTGACTTCAAGTAAAAATATGTTGTAATGGTCTTCAACAGTATTGCATCTAGTGAATAGAAATTTCCAATCAAGGGATGAGAGATCATTGTCTATAAGATCATAGTTGCCTTTTTTGAAGTTATAATTGGGGATTATGTCATTGTGATGATTTTTGTGTGAGCATATGTTGAGACAAAAGTCAATCATATTGTGGTCACTGCTGGAAAAGGGTTCTTTAGTTTGTATTCCGTAAATTAAATTCAAACTATTGCAGAAGATGAGATCGAGGCAGTTGTTTAGTCTAGTGTTGTTGGTTATTAGTTGTTCTAGTCCCAGATTTGTAACAGCATTGTAGAAAGTTGCATGTATGGGTTCAGTTGTACATTCATTTAGGGTCCAGTCAATATGAGGTAGATTGAAATCACCAAGAAAGATAAAAGCGTGTGGGCAGGATGCTGCCCATGTTAGTAGTGTATTTAGCTTGTTTACATGTTTGATGTCATAATCAGGTGCTCTGTAACATAGTAAGAATCGAAATGTGATATTTAAGGATAGTTCACAGATGATGGTCTCAGGAAGAGCAAGCTCCTGGGTAACTTGGATGTTTTTTAGATATAAGGACTTTTTATAGAAGATAGCAACACCACCTCCTCTATGAATTTCACCATCTGATAGGTAAACATGATAGTCTATTACTGTGGTAATGGAGTCAGGGAGAGATGCGTTGAGCCATGTTTCACAGACAAATATGGTGTCGAATTTAGCCATGTTTAGTAAGAGGAGAAATTCAGGTATTTTATTCGC